AAGTGATTCAGAGGATGAATCTAAATCTGCAGATAATTTATCCAAGTTTCTTCCTGAACATGACCCCTGCTTTTCCCACACACTATAGCCTGTGGTCAGAGTTGGCATGAAAGAAGCTGGACCACTGCTGAAAGTAACTTCCAAAGCATTAGCCATCATGTTCTACATTTGAAAACTGATGCAAGCAACTGATCAACTTGAGGGAGTTCAGTTGGTAACACCAACATAATGGAACTTGGAAATTACAATGATTCATTCTTTGTTGAAGATTCCCCAGGAGAAGCTGGATAATTTAAGATACTGGTACATCAAAACTTACTTTCCATGATCAAAGTGATTTTCATGATTTCACCCAGAGTCAGAACATTGTTGCCTCCAGTTATGTAGTGTCATGTGCTTATGGGCTGATGACTGAGATTGACAGCATGCAGTCCAGAAATAATCTCAATATTGTCTCTGCATTAAAGAAAAAAAAATCTGTTCACGTCCAGCTTACTCATTATGGGCAACAATGTAACTTGTTCTTAGCTATAATATTGGATTCCAGATTTTAAAGTTCACTGTTCTTTCACTAGACCTATGATCTATGAATCCAATCAAATGCTCCTGTAGCAAAAGTGAAGAAAGTTTCCTCACCAAATAAAAAATTAAGCAAAATGCTATGGCATCAGTCACAAGATACTTAACTTACAGACATATTTTAGTTATAATAATAAATCATATTTATTATATTTTTTTTCTGGATGGGATGTGACCCAACCCCGTGGTACTAATGTTGTTTGGCAAACCGATGGTATTAACACAGGGTTAAACAGTTACATAAATTTGCAATAAACTATCACTTCTTAAATAACTACATTTGACACTCATGCCATACGACTATCTAAATCATAGCTCTCACATTAAACTTAAATGGAAAAATCTTGTATACCTAACATTAAATTCTTCGTATGTCTCTAATTCAGTGATGTCACATGATCCCGTGAAGCTGAGTTTAATCAAAAAATCTCTGCCATGCTGCAAAAGCTTTTCTATGATATTGCCAAGTTCTGATATTTAAAAATCCAAACTTTCTACACATCAGGTTTTAGTTTGTACACAAACAGTATCAACAATAAAATTTATTCTTCTTTAACTCCATTAGTATATTCATCCTCACTTTCATAATTAAACAGTTTTTTACTTTATTCAGTGTTGCCTTTTTAAAAAAAAATTTCACTAACTAAACTTTCTGCTAAAATCAGTGACAGTTGAAAGTGCCAACTCAGAGCCTGTTGATCTATATTCACTAATCCATTTTCAAAACTCTTTTATGTGCTTTACAGCATTGTCCAGATACAAGTTACTACTCTGCCACAATTTACTGATGGTGTTTACATTTATTAAAAGATACCACACGATTTTAGAGATACTCAAATATCATGACAATCCATTAATGAGAGAATCACATTCATCATGAATTTTGGGATTGCCCTTACAACTTTTTGATAGATCCAGTAAAGCATCGCAGACCTCTGCGAATTGAAATTTAACACCTTTTAAACTATCTATGAAACACACCCACATAGTTTCTGAAAGTGGTTTTAGGGTAATACGTGCCATCTGCTTGAAGATGCTGAAAATAAAGTATAAAGCCTTTGAAATAAACAAAAAAAATATTTCAGCTCTTGTACAAGATGAAGCAGCATCTCCTAAGGTCAACTATGACAACCAAAGGAACAAAAGAAAGCTTATAGATTGATTTGAAGTATTCTTGCTTTTACACCATTATTTTCATCATGCATAATTGCATCATTATCATAGCCTTGTCCATGACAATAGTAAATGTCAAAGCCAAGATTTTATATTTCTGCCAAAATAATTTTAGATAGACATATTCCTGTTTTTCTAGCATTGACAGAAAACCAATAAAAAGTCCTTTAATTTCCTAAGTATTGCATTCAACATGGTTCAATATCATTGTCATTTGTTCAACATGGCTCACATCTTTTTTATAAAGGAATATTTCCCCTTCCTCACATTCTCTAATGTCTTACCTTTCATCATTTTAGCCATTAAATCAATTAATTCATTTTGTATAGTTTTACTAAATGTTCTTAATGACTTGAACAAATTTAGTCAGTAATTTACCAATCCAAGGAAATAGCCACAATTTTTTTACAGGCTTACTCATATGTTCTTCAGTACCATGAAAGGCAAAATTATGTAATGCCAAAAACTGCAATATAACAAGGGGTCTTTGTGAAATATTTCTCCACCACTGTTTCTCTAGTTCCATTTAATTTTGTGCATGTTTGTCAATTGTATTCCCACTATTTAGCCACTTTGCAAAGTCTAGCTATTCCATCACACACTCTTGTTTTCATGTGATTTTCAAACCAAACTCAGATTTTTCCAGTCTGGACAATCTTGAGAAGCAAGGGCAATCCTTATTTGTAATTTTGAAAATAAACAACAAGCAAAGCAAAATACACAGTCTTTACTTTGAAAATATACCAAGAAACTTTGATCGTGCTTTTCAACATTACTTAAAATATGTTTATAAAGAAATGAACCCAAATGTGTTTTTGTTTATCATCTATAAGAAAGTCATTGTTTTCTTTGAAGATGCAAACTGGCCTTTTTTGAATAGCATTACATACCTGATTATTGTTTAACCCTACCAACACAGGTCTTCCTATGGTCACAGGTCAAAGGCCATGTCATCACATTTGTAGGCTCACATTCAAAATTTTATTGAACAGCTATTTTATGATGTATGTCAATTAAACCCTGTATTTCCCCTAGTGTAAGAAGTGCTATTTTTTCTCTAGGCATCTGCTCTTCTATAATTGATTTACCACCCCTCCAAGAAGTGCAAAACTTATTGTAATTTACTATATTTTTTTTCACTCAAGCAAACTATAATTTTCATAGCCTTCAATTTTGTTTGGTTACAGAGCCATCAAATAGGTGACTGAAGCAAGAGGGGTTTGATTTTTTATCACATCATCTCTTTCAGGATTTGTCAATAGTTCTCCTTTTCATTTAATAAGTACTATATTATTTATAACCAATAGAAAGCTAAAGTTTTTTATATAAAATAATGTATTGTATTCTGTACTAAAAAATGTTAATTTCTCTTTTAGCACAAGCTTTGTAACAGCTCTTGTCGCATAGTTAGAAAAGCCAGAAAAATTGTGATAAGTATGGGACATTGTCTGCATTTTGCATGCTATTATTCTATGTTCTTTCATGCATAATTTAATTAAGTAAAAATTATTTGGTGCACTACTACCATTAGCATAAAAAAAGTAGGGTTAAGTGTCATCGACAGTTGACAGAAAAAGAAGACCTGGGCAAGTACTATATTTCTTGTTTTCATGTATATTCTATTTTTATTATTATTATTATAATTATAAATGTAACTAAAAATAGGAAACTCTTTAGGTTAGGTAAAATAAATAATAATATAAAAAATGTTCATGAGCCACATTCGCGAGCAGCTCAGAGTAACTTATGGGTAATGTAATTCGATAACATAATGTGAGCTGCACTTTCCCCAAGTGCTTTACAACTTATAATGGTGCAAATAGTAGTTAGACACAGTTCAAAATGCTATAAAACAAAATTTAAATACAAATAGATGTATACAGTTACAAGTTTAAAGCTACTTAGGATAAACAAATGCAGTTTCATGTTACAATTTGAAGCTATTCTAGAAAGAAAAAATTGGGTAATTTACATACATTTTAATTTTTATTTGGAGGTTATGAGGTCAGTCAAATTGACCAATGCCATATAGAGTTACACTAAAAATCAGGTTTTGTAATGAAGTACATTTTGTCTGTGAATATATTGAGACTTTTTTTATTTTATTTTTTGACCAGTCCAAGTGCAAAGTGATTTTCATGGTAATATTAAAATTATTTTTCATCTCAAATATCATTTGCATAATCTTTAAAACCTCCTAAATACATTTGAAAGATTTTTTTTTTGCAGTAAAACTTTTTGTTTTATCTGTTATTTTCTCTACCCCAAAACTGATGTTCAATTCCGATAAAATCCCATCAAAAGGCATATACAGTATTTTCACACTTTGTCATGTCCATATTGCATACACATACACTTTGTAGTAGTCTGTCCAGGATGTTTGGAATGCACCCAGTAGGTGCCCACAGCCTAGCCAACTACACTACACTACATATGTACAGTACATGCACTGACATTTAGCATTGAGCTGGTTACAAACTCTCTCAATATGGGCTTGGTCCTACGGGCTGACCATGTGACTTTTAGTAAACATTATAAGTTGCTTGTAACGTATCAAACTGAAATGTTAGGACACTTTCACTGTGTTTTGGGAGGTCTCAAAGACAACATACAAGAATGATTAGCACGTTATGCTAAGCAAGGAAGAAAGTGATTCACAACTGGGTTTTTTTTATTGACAACTTTTCTAAACTTTAAAAGAAAGTTCCAAATATTAAAGCTACACCTAATAATAAATTAATCAAAATTACAATTGAATTGACTGTCACCAAAATAATTAACTAATTGAAGTTAGGGTTTTTGATTATTATTACCATTTTCAATTATTCTAAATTTCCAAGTAACTGAAATTATGTTTGTTGTTAAGTACAAAGTTACATAACAAGTTATTTGTACTCTGCCCAATTTTAGTTTTATAATTTTTTTTACTTCAAGTTTCTTCAGATTTGGGGCTTTTAGGTTCAATTTCCTTTTTTTTCCCTTCTTCTCTCTTTGACTTTCTGACAAGAAGGAAAAAAATGGAATCACCTCCTTCCAACTTTCTTTTTGTAACTGCTGACTAGAGAAGGAAATTGGCTAGTAGTATCTACCAACACTTTTTGTTTGGGGGGGGGGGGCTTGTATGTAGGTGCCATAATTTGAGGAACACTCTACTAAGCAATTAATTGAATGTAACTAATTAACAGGGCTGCCAATTAATTGTTGGCAAATACTAACAGTCACCCAATAATCAACAGATAAAATGTTACCTGGCTAATATTTCTAACATCAAAATATGAAGTCCAGCTTCAGTCCAGACTTTTTCTTTTTCCTTCAAAGCAACTATTCCCACATCAATGTCACAATATTTTTTCTCTGCAAAAAAAATTAATATTAATTTCAACAATTTCATGCATTGTGGATAACTACAAAAAATCTATATTAGACACAGAAATAAGTAACTCTTATTACATGTGTTTTGGTAATTTTAAATATCACTTCAGAAGTTTTCTTTGCTTGGAGTTATTTATAATTTAAAATAGATATTTCAATTAGTTTTTAAACAATGCACTGAGATATTCTGAAATGTATAGCTTTGTATTTTCATTATTTAGTAAATAACATGAAAGTAATCCCTAAAACAGCTGCTTAAATATAGTTTTGCCTTTAAAAAGAAAATATAAAAGATTTTATATGATGGATATTTTATATCAAAAATAAATTAATATATGAATAATTAATAAATATTGACAGAAATAATAATAATAAAAAAATGCATGTATTAGAGCTATGCAATTAACTCTTTCAACCCAGGCTCGGCCCTTGGGACCGACCTCAATCATTTTGTGCTTAAAATCATAAATAATATTCAACGTTAAACTGGCACACAATTATATAGGCCTATCTATCTCCTGAGGATGACGTTGTAACGTCAAAACATGTAGAGTCGTCAACTTTTTGAAGGCCATAGATAT